ACTTCCATTCCAGTTACCTTGTCAAAGGTATAAAACCACAGTGTTTAGAGTTTGGTTCCTTAACATGCTGATACGTGTTTTTATAGAACACCCACATCGTGATGGCATCTGTAAACCAGGAGAATTGTGCAATATGAGCAATACGCTCCGGAAAAATCATCTTTTGGTGTCCCTAAAATTAATCCTTGTCCCCTAAATTGTCTAATCACGTGCCCACATTGAAGACCACTGACTTCACTGACATTTTTCACATCTGGAGCGTTTCCTCCTCCTGACTCTTTCAGTTGTGTTCTTAGTGGTGTTTATGAATTTCCTCACTCTCTTGTCATGGCAGATTTCATTTGCTTACTTTAGGTAAACAATTTCTAGGTATATGTTGTAAAGATGTTGTTGTAAAATTAGGAATTGTGTGTTTTGTCATAAAGGTACCTAAGATATGACTCCTGGTGATCTCTAGTACAGAGTTGAGTTCCTACTGTCCAAGGAGAAAGGGGTTTGATTAACATGGAATTTTGAGGTTTATATATTATTATAGATTAGTTGAAGAATATAATAAAATAATCTGTTGTCTGTGGAATCTTATTTGCAGAAATCCTCTTTAACTATATCTCCTGTACCTAAGAAAACAGGGCATTTATTTTCTTTAAAAGCTGACAATTGAAAATTTCTTGAAAAGGTTCTAATTTTGTGAGCGTTTTATAGTGTTTGTTTTTTTTATATTTCACTGTTTAAAACAGTCTGGTTACTGACACAGGTTTCGTAAATCCTTCTTTAGGTCTGTGTAGTAGAGTAGGATGGATTTCAGTTGTATTTGAGGCTGTTCGTGAGCACCCTCTCGATAGAGTTTGTACTGTAACGCCTGCGCGCTCTAGTCTCTACTAGCCTAGACGTTTATAGCTGTCTGAAAGGTATGGATGTAATAGCTAAACAAAGGAACCGTAGAAATAAAATGGAAAACAGAGTAATTGCTTGGTAGCCGCATTTTCCTTCCCTCCTCCCTCTCTCCAAGCTTTTAACGGCTCCCCCCATCTCTTTTTGGCCGTTGTCTAGCCCGTGGATGAGAACAGCGTTACGGAAAGTGGTGATCTGGTGACATGATTGAGGTTCGCAAGGACGTGACCTGGGGGAAGCTGCCAGGGCTCTGCCACCCCGCTGACTGTGACGGGGTGGGTTTTCCTTGAGTGAGGGCGGTGCCGCCCGGCCCTCCTTCGGGTTTGCCCAACCCAAAACCCTTCTCAGTTCTGGAGGGGGAAACTGCCTCCCAGCTGTGGAGATCATGACTCCCCCCCAGCTGTCAAATGAGTAAACAATTACTCTTTCTAAAATTGTTTCAATATGGTCAATGCATGGCCATAATTACGTTTGAAGAATTGAAGCCTGAAGGCTCAAGAAGTAACTTCAGAGGTGCTTAATTTTTTCCTCCGCTGTTCCAGTATTTAGTACAGCAGATTTTGTTGTCATATGCTATTCGTTTAATAAAAAGAACTCCAAATGTATGACCCTTCTGTGAAAAAATGCATTTTGTTAGCCAAACCCCCAAATAATCGCCCCTCTTCATGATTCTGTGCAGGCAGAATCTGAAGCCCTTGTTTTTCATAAATCCGTCGTGTTCTTGTCAAAAAAAGATTCTGTTCGTCAGTTTAATCGCTTGAATTTTGAATATGACATCCTGTTGCTTTTTCTCTAGACTTTAAAAATGGTGTTGAATTTGAAAATGGAAGGGACACTTAACCAAATCTGTTTGGAGTACGCATGTCGTGTAAATATGTCTTTATTTTATACGTGTGGCTGTTAGATTTCCCATACCTTTCAAAATCTAACAGTAACAGAGCCATCTCAGTATAAAAGGGACTGCCAAGTCCATGAAAATAATGATTTACCTTTTAATTTTCTGAAGAAAGCTGGTATTCATGGAGAATGGGAAGCAGCACAACTTAGCGGTATCCAAATGCGAGCTATTGACATGAAGTTTGTGTTCGAGGAGGCTGATTTTCAACGCGGGATCAGGAGGGAATACATCATGTCTGCTTTTGAGATTACAAATGTCTTCTCTTCCTCCTCAGTTTGTTCTTAATTAGATTTCTTTACAATTTAATGTTTTATACGGATTGTTTCGTCTGCTAATTGACTTCTGACCTTTAAGAAAGACAGGATTACTTTCTCAGGAACATAGAGTTTTCTTATGTTCCTAATTAGCCCTGCTTTTAAAGAAACCCAACCCTTCCTCCCCCTGTTTTGTGCATTAGATGCCCCAAAACTTTGGGAGTGTATAGTCATGTCAGACATCATTGTTCTCTGTCTTTGTGTTTGGACCAGCTCATCTTCAGTGCATTTGCAAGCTTTTTCGTTTTCCCTTTGAACCACAGAAAGGTTTGTTTTGCGGTGCACAAGAAGCATTCTAGAACTTGTCAGCTGTCTTTTGAGTTTTATAGGAACTTTGGCAAAAATACACGGTGTTTCTATCTAGGATGTGGAAGGCGAAGCTCGGCGTGATGCACCTGTTGGCTTTTACAGCTGCCTGCTTTCCCTGGTGCACACATGCCTTCCTCCTAGGCTTTCGCCTGGTAAGATTCAAACACTGGCTCTTGTTTGCGAACCAAAGTGATTTCTTTCTGCGTTTCCAAATCGCCCGTGTCTCTGAATTCGTTGTGCAGATCTTCTTGTCTCCCAGGCTGCTGCCAGTATCTATCTGGTCTGTGGAGATCACTTGAGCTCTTGCAATTTATTAAATAACTGAACTGTTTTAAGTCTCTGGTGTGTTTTCATAGAAAGCTTTGTTTAGGAAGTGAGGTTCCCAAAGAAAGCGAACTTTGGACCTGTAATGCTTAAAAACAAGCCAGTCCTTTGTTTTGAATGTTACCGGCAACCATCCATTGTCCTCAATAAAAACAGGGCTAAAGAACACAGCCATCCTTACATGATCTCAAGCCTTCACTTCACTCTTCCTCTAGAAGTGCATCTCTCTTCCAAAATACTTTCTGACCTTTTGCCAAAGTGCTGAATTATATTGCTGAATGTATTTTTAATGTGTTTTTAGCGGGTTATGTGGCTCATAGATACTGTGCTGCTCACAAATCGCAGTGCTTCGTGCTGCTTTTGACTAGCAAACGTTCCGAAAAAGGCAAATCCCTTCCCACTAAAACATTTTTTCTCTTTTAATGCAGGCTTCCCCCAGTTAAATGTCTCACTTGCAGTTATCTTGCTTTAGTGCTGCCTTTCTAACTTTTTTTGGTGTTTGACGTACTCGGGATCAGACAGCTGAAAGTTCTCTTGCATGTGATCGTTTATGGATAGAGAGCAGAAAGTCAGCACGCTTCAGTTTCCTAATATTCTTTGCACATGTTCTCAGGATGTAGCTCTCTGCTACAGGTAAATCATATCTCTAATGTTAGATTGAACTTTTTATCTCCTTAAAAACCACTCTGCTGTCATTAGCATGAGATTTTTCTTCAGTCATCAGTGGACTGTTATAAAATGTGGCTGCTAAAGACTTGTTCGTAGAATAACATTTTAGATTGTAATACCAACTGGATGGATTTGTACATCTGAAATTCATTTAACCTTTATATCAACTAGCTTTGTACTTAAGGGCTAATTTTTCATGCCTAATTTGCACATGCAGTTACTGTGACCGAGTGTGCAGTTATGGCAAAAATCTGTGCAAACAGCAAGTGTTTCGTCTCCGTCAGTTTTACACCTTCGACCAGCGTAATGGCCAAGTGGGAATTTCATGAATAAAGGAAAAGAAATAAGCACGCCTGGCTTTGAAAATCTGTGCCTGATGTCTTGGGGCTCTCTAGCCTAAAATCTTCTCTGGTTCTACCCTGTTTAGCTTGCTGTCTATTTTCCGTGCTTTCCTCTGTAGTCATGTTCTCTCCATGAAGGTGGTGGGCTCGCTCCAGTATTTCATAGCCATTCCTTATCACGTGGATTAAATGATAGCTTTTGCGATCAGCAAGTAGAAGAAAGTCTTTTCCTGTCTTCCCTCCATACAGCAATTTCTGGATGTTCTATGTCACAGCTCTGGCACTTGTCATCTGTCTCAAGGTCTTGTCCTGCATGGCTTGGATCTCCTAGCATGAAGAGCTCACTGCACCCGAGACTGTCTTGTCCTAGATAATTTGTATGGCTTTTGATTTCTCTTTGAATTAAATGACATCCTGGAATATCCCCCGGAGTCCACTGTCATAGTTAAAATTCCTAGCTAGACTGCTTTTCTGGGAGAGTTTTCTCTGCCCTATGGTTGATTCAGTCACTTCTCTAAACAGAGCAGCATACAATGTGAAAGCCATTAAAATGTGTTTATGAATGAAATACGGGCATTTTTTTCGAAACAACCGCAGAGCACGTGACTGTTCTATGTAGGACTCCCCAAGTACTTCGTGCATGCTGACAGCTGAAGTCGTGTAAGGAGTTAAGGCACAACTGTTTTTATTGGACAGCGCTGCAAACATTTATAAACCCATTTCTCTGTGTAGTGCGTATTAGTGATAGATTACACTGAGAAATGTGGTCTCGGTAGTTACAATACAGAATGTGCTTTCCTTTTGCTGACACCTATGGAAAGGAAACTGCTGCACAGCAGCAGATGATAATTTCAGTCGCTTTTCCTCCTTTCCTACTCCCACACCCTTTTTGGAGACACAGTGTAGGGCTTGTGAAGCAACCCCTAAGTAATGTGCTTGCTGTCACTTGCCAGTGGGAATTCTTGGGGCCTTTGAAGCGCTTTTGAATTAGCTTTTTGATGCCAGTGTTTTCCTCCTGTATGCTCTCGACTTTCTTTCAAATTGAGTTTTGAACAGATCTATAAAAACATTATTTAGAGCGCTGGAAGATAAATGGTGTTTTAAAAATGATGATGACTCAAGAGACACAGTACTCGACTTTGTTAGACCAGTAACCTGCAAATTTTGGTTTCTGAGGGCTCTGGGCTCATTTGTAATGCAAAGGAAAGGACAAAGCTGTTCATTTGGGCAAGGCTGGAGTTTTGCAGCCGTAGGCTTCAAATCATTTGTCTTCCAGGAGCAGACCATATCCTGTTCAAAGGACTATACAACACCTTAAGCAAGTACCTCCCGGGATCAGGATCCTGTTTGAGAGTAAGATCGAAAACCGAGGAGGTTGAAGAGATTATTTTGCTTTGCAGGGTGTGGAAAACAACAGATACCGAAAGGAAAATAAGATCTTGGAGATCCGCCAAGCATAGCCATGTTGAGTAAAAGCGTAGCGTGTACTACACCTTTGGAGTGTTTTCTACCTGCGGTATTGCACATCTGAATCTGGAAAGTTTAGAAGTACTGAAGCTTTAGAGAATGGTAAATGTTCAGATAGGTGTTTTAATTTACAGGCTTTGAATCTTTGGCTTTACTTTCTCAGGTGTTTTTTCGGCAGCCGTGAAAATGATGTATTTCCTTTAACATACCGTAAAATGCTCTCAACTGTTCATGCTTTAGGCAGAATATAAACCACTCTGAAGCTTACAGTGACGAGGTAAAAGCATCTAGCAATATGAGGAGGGCCTTGGAACAGCTGACAATGCGCAACATTTCCTTCCCAGTTTTAAAGCCCTTTGTCCAGATGTTGAAACAAGTATTTCTTGTCATACCTGCAATAGTCTCTTTGCTCCCTCTCTTCCTTGGGTAGCGAGGCTTCCCCTTCGGGGGCGGAGATCGCACAGGAGAGTGAACCTGGTCTGAGTTGGCGGCAGCACTCGATCTAGATGAGCTTTTTTTTCAAAGTACTCAGTTCAATTCACGAGTTGATGCTGTGTTTTTGTGTTTGGCAACTTAGCACCAAATGCTGGAAAGTGCATCACGGGTCTCTTTAATGACTTGATACAAGGAGTAACGTTTTCAGCAGCTTTGGATTTTGTTTTGCATTGTTAGTGGATTCTGATGAATTTCATACTTAGCTTTAGAAGAGTTTCTTTTATGGGGAGCTTTAGGTGGCTTCCTGCTTATCAGACTTCCACGTGTTGTGGGCCGCTATCAGGGAGAAATAAAGCTTTGTCCAATTTTGGCTTGGGAGCGGTGGATCCTTCTGTTGGGTGGCGTTGCACAGCTGGAATGTAACAGTGCGGTTTCCATGGGTAGAAGTGTAGATTAGAGAATGTCACAGAGGGCTGACATTTTGAAAGACATAAAATATGTGTGATTAATTGTGTGACTACTTGTTGAAATCGCATCGCTGTATAGCTCCGGCGTTTTTCGTAATGTCCCTGTATTCCTTTAGGCAGCATCAAGCGTGAGGGCAGCTCTAAAATGTTGAGAGTTGCTTTGTTCCCCTTGTGTGTGTGACACTATGTCACCTATGCGTTTTCCTGAAAATACGGATTTATGCTGATTTTCACCTGTTTGTGTTTCTCTGTAATTACAGGTCACCTGTTTTACAAATTTGGAATCACAGAATCTGACTGGTATCGAATCAAGCAGAGCATAGACTCCAAATGCCGGACAGCTTGGAGGAGGAAACAGCGAGGGCAGAGCCTCGCTGTGAAAAGCTTTTCAAGGCGAACACCTTCATCATCATCTTACAGTGGTTCAGGTAAAAAAAAAAAACCAACAAACCCACAACCCCCCCCAGAAAGCACAAAACCAAAACAAACCCCAACAGAAATGGAAACTTAAAGTAATAATGCCGTTTGGTTTTTGGTATACCTGAAAATGGTTTTGATCTGAAGTTGTATTTACAACAGGTCCATGTAGTACCCACAAATGTGACTGTGTTGTGTAACAGAGGTGAATGGAGAAACCCACGTTTCTCACAATTGAATTTTTGGAGGTGGATTTTATATTATTGCTTTTTTTTTTTTTGAAGTACCATTTGTCATTGGCAGAGAGGCCTCTCTGTTACAGTGTACGCATGTCTACAGCGCTCCTCAAGGAGTGTATCCGTGTACTCAGCGAAGCCAGCCATTCGTGGTTGAATCATCGTGGGCCTTCGGTGCAAGCCGACCACCTCCTGGTCCCTTCGGAGTCCTTGGCAGCCTCGTGGGGCTTGTACCAGAGTAGATGCCCTGTCGGGTGAGCTTCTGCTCCTGTTCCACCTACAAACTGCAGTCACGCTCCTGGTTGTGCGGTGCGTTAGTGATCCTAGAAAGGGAGCGAGATGTGTGTGTTCGCTGACAAAGAGAAGAGGGAGAAGGGAGTCTCTGTCTCTGAAACAGTAGTAAAATGCAGATTTTCCAGAAATGAAAGTGTGTTCCAGTGAGTGAGAGAGGTTGGCTTTGTTGATTTGTACGTTATCTGAACGCCTGGCTTCGCTGTGATGCTTGAGAACGTCCCTCCACGTGTGCTAACAGAAAAACATCCAGCACGTGCAGCTTTGTGCTGTCATATGGGGTCTTTTTACCGTGTTCAGTTTTTTTGAGTAGAAGTTTCTGCAACTGGTGTTCATAAGAGGAGTCAAGTGAATAAATCTTTCTCAGTGTGTTCACACCATTTAGTTGGACGTGCTAAATTTTGTTCCTGAAGTATTTTCCTCTGAAGAAATTAAATATGTTGTAGGTGATGCTGTATTTCCATATAGGTATGTAGGCGTGAATAATAATAACAAATGAAAAATACTGACCTAAGAAGTGTTCTCACAGGACATTTCTGGCTCATGCTTTTAATATAAAGCAGTGTTATGGGACATTTGTACATCATATATTAAAACCAGTGTTTTGGAAGTGAGCCCAAAGAAAAGGAAGTAAGTTTATTTGCCTGCATAAAATTTTTGGTTGCATGTTAACACTAACCACTGTATCTCATGCAAAGAATGCCAAAATCTGCTTTCAATGGAAAATTTTATGTGCTGGAACTGGGAATCATATCCAAAATTCTCAAATTAAAACAACTAATCAATGTAATGATAACCATAAGCCATGTATGTTGATGGGATTTTTATTTTCAGTCTCTTAGCAATCAGTATTTTAGAATAAAAATGCAGTCGTAAGTGGATATTATGGGCCTGTGCTCATTAGACCATACTCCCCAACTGTTGTTCAGATTTAGTATTAAAAAATATTAATCTTTAATCTCCTGGGTTGAAGATTTGGGGAGACAAGTGTAGAGACGTAAAACACAGACTCAGGCTCAATGAATTCTTTGTCTTCAGAAGGCCCTAAGATAATAAATGTTGGTGGGGTTGTTTGGTGGTGGTTAAGCTGAAAACTGCTGGGTTTTTTCCTCCAATTCCCCAAACCTGATTTGTGAGTAAATTGTTCCATGGGTACAAAACCACCTGAATTACCTCCTGCTGGGATTTCAGCAGTGTGCTGTCTGGGCAGGTGGGAGTAGCGTGGTACAGACGCTCGTGATCTGGTTCTGCAAGAGCCGCCTTGGTATTCTGGGTTGTGCTCCCAGACAGGCTCCTTTAGCTGGAGCTTTGCTGGCTGCCTCTGGTACATCGATCTCCAGGATTTCCCCAGGAGATCTTATGCCACCTGGGTCCCCCACTGTGCAGCTGTCTCATCTCCCGGTTTCCCTAGGTAGCAAAGAGGCGGCTGTGTCTCCTTATAAAGGTGTCTTTGGTCCTGAAGATGATGAAGGTCAGCCGAGGCATCTTGGCGTGTCGTTGGCAGGACCGTATAGACTGTGCAGCCAAAAGCAGAGAACTGGCAATAACATTAACAGCTGCCTTTGTAACGGTATGTGCAAGTGTTCCCATGGATTCAGGGTCTTTTGTTAATTTTCTTCAAAGTACTGCTTTTACTCAGAATGTCATTGGCATCATTTTCTGGGAGGCTGTAGAGATGTTGTCAGATGAATTCACCACTACCTTCACACCCACTGTGAAAAAGCTCTTAGAAAACCAGCCCACCTTTCAGAATCAGGCCGTCCTTTGACAAATTAATTTGCATTCCAAAAGCGAGTGGGAGTGGTATTTCACCTGAAGGAAGAAGGGGAGGTGTGAGGAAAAGCAGGAGAGCGGCTTGAGAGGCTGAAGGAGAAAATAGGGAAAAGAAAGAGAAGATGCAAGGGGAAAATGTCGATTCACATGTGTTTAAAAAGGTAACTTTTGCATGACAGGGCTGTAATTCCACCGCTCTGGTCAGGTAACTTCATG